TTGGCTGTTAAGTTGACAATGGAGAAGGACACTAATTTACCTTTTTTTAGATGTTTAAGTGATCAGAGCAGGGATGTACTCAGAAAGCCAACTCATGCAGAAATCAACTTTCGAATCTCTTCACCAAACACTTTCACCTGAATGGAAATAAGCTCAACAATTATGAAACAAGAGCTTCCTCGATACCCAACTTTTCTAAGCATTTTTGTTTTCAGCTATCCTCTGTTGACAATTCGCTCCAACAAAAAATCAATTATTAGTTAATAATATGAAACGCTTGGATAAGACCCACTGCATAGAAAGCTGCATAGACCAATTCGAATACTTTAGGATAACAATTGCCTTCGAGACTTGTTTGAAGCAGCGTCATTTCGATAAGGAATATAATAAGGACGTATTATTTAGGACTAGATTATCTGACTGTGGATTCATTCTTTCTCACCAAAATGTTAGGCTAAGTCAATAGGAAGAAAGGAATCAGAATCATTTTTCAAAAAAACTTGGGCACTTCCTACAGTCAGGCCTACTCATCTCATCATTATGCTGATCATCTCTCTCAAACGAATGCCTCTTATCACTCAAGCGTAATGATGCGTTTCCCTGGGTCAAGAAGGTTTGTTGATGAATAAAGACACGTGACACAATCACCAGTGGTCTCATACCCGCCCACTTACACGCACACAGACACTCCGATAGATTTGCATACGCATAAGTAAACATGAAAATAGACTATGGAAATTATTCTGTACAACCAGAAATCCATTTTCTTTGACTATATACAATCGTAATTGAAAAGGATATCCCCGGGACTACATCAGTCTGAACGCTCAATAGAAATTAAACCTTAGTAGGCCAGGGAGAATCTGCCATATTTTTCTGGTTGTGTCTCCTCACCACACACTTTCTAACGAAAGGTCAACCATGAGAGCCTTCTGACTCTGATCCATGCGAGCTGAACTTTCATCGGTCATGCTGTGATGGATATCTTTACTCAACTTCATCAAAGTCCAGGCCAAGAATAGGCTTTGTGGGGAATTGGATGAGGATTGTTAAGGCTTATTTTGTCATTCTAATGTTGTCCGTCACGGCAGGATAAATAAGTGCCCAGCACGGACTCATCTACGCTGGAGAGGGATGAGCAGTGGCCACCCCAAATACGTAGAATTTTATTGGACTTCTGGTGAGGTTAATATGCAAACCTCCTACAGTCAAATTTTGGTATAAAAATAAGGTATATGCCTTCTCCTAAAGCTGTTAAGCATTGACGCAAAACTCAGCATGTCTTATAATATACATATGAGCATTTGGTACAGAATAAATGCATATTGGAATCTTGTCACAGGCGAAACTAGTCAAGGTTCTGCTTAGTAACCATGTATTGACCACTGAGAATGCAGTCGTTTAGTTTTGGAGGAACCTATGCTTCATTGTCAGGGGCACCACTCGTCCAGCTTGGGAGCCTCATAGACGCATCTTCAAGAAAAGTGCAATAATTTAGATATCAAAATTGTCATGGCGTCATCCATAAAGTGACTAGATGCCCCATTTATTTTTATAGCATTTCACGGAATTCTTGCCCTCCTGATATACAAACCAGAATGTTTTTGGCTCCGGAGCTGTCGATTTGAGTTTTGGGTGATGCCTTTTGTTAGAGAGTAATGCTTGTTATATATGACACAGGTCAAAGTACCTTTGAGGTGGCTATCCTTATTTGAGCAGAATGCCTCTTTGAATCAATTTTATGTATCTCATTTGTTCACCATTTGGCTCAGTCCCGCAAGACTTCTTTAGACGTGAGCGGAGACTCACATTGACCCCCTCCTTGTCAAGCTCCAATTAAACATGGTTGCTGCGTTTACGAAAGCTTCAACATTGGCTGAGGCTGCTCTTAATAATTCATTCACGTCGTTTCCGTTTTTTCTTGCATGCCTGGCAACCCCTACATTCACTCACAACCTACACATGCACAGCGACTTCGCCCACACCTACCGAGTCACTTGGGCGCCAAGGTCGTCAGCTTCCTCGAGGCCTGGCAGAGGTTGGCCGGCCTGCTCGACTTTACGCTTCCTCCGTCCGTGGCTCGAGTGATTAACACAAGCCATGCGTCTGGCCACACTCTGGCCCTACGTCAAAACGACACAAATGAGCATCAAAATGAGGTAAGTTTGGGTCACCGAACCGGCATACATGGCACTGGGAATTTTGGCATATATGCCTACACATGAAACTTCTCGATCCTGACGCTGGGCGGTCGTAGGTCATAGGCTTTAGGGATGCTAAGACGGTTACGTAAGTATGGTCCACAACCACGTTTTCAATTTCTCCCTGGCAATCTAAATTGAGGTGATCGTCGAACATCATTCCTCTTGTCTGAAATTTTGAAAGCTTCTGATTCAGTTTCGCTGAGTGTCACGAAATATTGACTAAGTAGGCATGCTCATACGAATTATTATTACTATTTACTATATATTATTTGTTTATATTCGTATAAATTAGGCTTCGAAATTATCAGTAAAACTTGAATAAGAGTTCCAGTCACCCTAGGGATAAAGGACTGATAGTTGCATTTTCCGAAAATGATGGACTGCTGAGATTCAGGGGTCGTAGAAACTCTTTCTCTCTTTATGTCTGTCTCTCTGTATCTCTGTCTCTCTGTGTCTCTCTGTGTCTCTCTATCTCTTTGTCTCTGTCTCTCTCTGTCTCTCTCTGTCTCTCTGTTTCTCTGTCTCTCTGTCTCTGTCTCTCTGTCTCTGTCTCTCTGTCTCTCTTTCTCTCTCTTTCTGTCTCTCTTTCTGTCTCTCTTTCTCTCTTTCTCTCTTTCTCTCTCTCTCTCTCTCTCTCTCTATATATATATATATATATATATATATATAGTAGGTCCATTAGAGAGTTTCTACCTCATCTAGTTCCCATCTGCCTAGCATTTTAGGAAAGTTCAACTCTCAGTCCTTTATTTGTATATATATATATATATATATACTCTTGACCTAGTGTAAACGTGAGACCTTTACAAGAACCAGTTCCAGCCCTCATGATGTCCATTGTATAATGGACGAAAGCTCAACCCGTTTTCACATGAAGCAAGGGGGGATATATCGTGAAATGCGTCTATTTGAATGTCATATTAAGGCCAAACGGCTGCAGTGCTACGGGATACAGCCGTAGTTTTATTGAGAGATCAACCTACGAATCCCTTATTCACGCACTTTCATACGAAATTAAGGTTGCCACAACTATGTTATCTCAGAAGATTAATCCAAACTCACTTACTCTTCGTATCTACAATGTTCGTATTTCTTCTTTTAGACCGCTCAAATCTCGATAGGTTACAAGCCTGGCTGCCAGGACCAACAGGTGACCGGCAATATGCACCTGCCCGTATCCACTTCGGCCACTGTTGTTCGCATGCAGAATGACATTTCCGGACTATCCAGATGGTTGGCAACTGTGGCTCGTTTCCTGGCTACCAGCCAGGTCACTTTGGGAGACAAGTTCGACTCGGAGATAGTTAGCGCCCAGCTACAGGTGAGCATCCATCTCACATGGCCAACAAAGCGTCTATCGGCATTTTATGGTTTCTGTCCCGATGCCTGTGTGGAGGCGTGTAACTTTCTAGGCTTGGATGTCTGGTAACCTGTTTGTTATTAGAGCATATTTATTTTGGCCTATATCCGACTTTGTCGTCTCGTTTACTTATGAACACTTTTAACTTTAGGTTTTCGGATCTGCAATTTCAGCATATTTGCGTGGGAAAGATCTTACCTTTCAGAGCTCTTATTTAATTATGCCAGCCCATGGTTGGCTTCGGAAATCGTTTTATTTCTAGGCCATTTTGGCGGCTTCATACCCTCATCTCTCAACGAATATGCATTATTGTGTTTAAAAACCATCTCATGGTTTACAGAAATACTAACAAATTACTCCCCTTAGGTCGTTCAAATTGGGTTTTACCAAAATTATATGAATACGCCTCACGATGGCATTGAATGCCACCTATCTTTGCCTCCTAAAGTGTTTTATGGAGCAAACGTTTTGAAG